GCCTGTAGTGACACCAGTGGTTCTGTGGTGTTGAGGGTAGAGGCAGGGATAGATTGGAAAGGGACCCCAGGAAACTGGGGGGACGGTGGCTGTGTTCCCATCCTGGTTGTAGTGAGGGTTCCCTGGGTGTCAGAACTCATCAAACTGTGTCTCAGTATGTGTAGTGTGTGGTATAGTCATTTCCATCCCAATAAAGCTGTTTTTAACAATGCTCATGGTCCTCACCCCGGGAAGTGAGGGAAGGAGGCTGGAGGCACAGAGGCAACAAGCTGTGATGTCATTCACGTTCCATGGGGAAGGGGGCCAGGAGTGTGGGCTCCACCCTAACCCAGCTGGGTGGTGGGAAAATAAGATAGAGAGCTGGCCCGGGGAGAATTGTCCCCTTCTCTCTTCTTCATTTTTTTAAGGATTTTATTTATTTAGTTGAGAGGTAGAGTTACAGACAGAGAGAGGGAGAGACAGAGAGAGAGGCCTTCCATCTGCTGGTTCACTCCCCAAATGGCTGCAACAGCCGGAGCTGTGCTGATCCAAAGCCAGGAGCCAGGAGTTTCTTCCAGGTCTCCCATGTGGGGGCAGGGGCCAAGCACTTGGGCCATCTTCCACTGCTTTCCCAGGCCATAGCAGAGAGCTGGATTGGAAGAGGAGCAGCCAGGACTAGAACTGGTGCCTGTATGGGATGCCGGCACCTCAGGCAGAGGGGCTTAGCACACTGCACCACAGCACTGGCCTCTCCTTCTCTCTTCTTTTTTCAAATATGTATTTATGTATTGGAAAGGCAGAGTGACAAAGGGACAGAGAAAGAGAGATCTTCCATCTGCTGGTTCACTCCCCATTGGCCACAACAGCCAGGATTGGGCCAGACCAAAGTCAGGAGCTATGGACTCCATCCAGGTCTCCGACATGGGTGACAGAGGCCCAAGTACTTGGGCCGTCACCTGCTGCCTCCCAGGAGCGTTTGCAGGAAGCTCGATCAGAAGCAGAGGAGCCAGGACTCCGAGCTGGGGTGAGGCCACAGTGCCCGACCCCATCTCTCTTCTTTTCTGCCCCTCGCCTGCCCGCCAGCCGCACGTGTGTCTGTGGCCTCCTGCCCCCTCTCCCACTGTTACTGGAGAAGAGAGCAGTGGAAGCTGTGGAGTTCTTGTCTTCACACAAGAAAGAATTCAGGCGTGAGACAGAGAGCGAAGTGATAGGCTTTACTGGGGGACAGGGCATCCGTCAGAACGGAAGGGACAGAGAGCACCCAGTCACTCGGGCTGGGGGAGAGCGAGGTTACATCGCTGAATAGAGAGAATACACCTGGGTAGGCCAGATGGGCAGCTCAGCTTTTTTTTTTTTAAGATTTATTTATTTTACTTGAAAGTCACAGTTACACACAGAGAGAAGGAGAGGCAGGGAGAGAGAGAGAGAGAAAGAGGTGGGGGGTCTTCCATCCGCTGGTGCACTCCCCAGATGGCCGCAACAGTCAGAGCTGTGCTGATCCGAAGCCAGGAGCCAGGAGTTTCTTCCAGGTCTCCCACGTGGGTGCAGGGGCCCAAGCACTTGGGCCATCTTCTACTGCTTTCCCAGGCCACAGCAGAGAGCTGCATCGGAAATGGAGCAGCCGGGTCTCGAACCGGCACCATGTGGGATGCTGGCACTGCAGGCGGTGGCTTTTTACCTGCTATGGCTTTCTACCTGCTATGCGAAAGTGCCGCCCCCATGTGAAGGTTTTATTGCACATGTTGTCAGGTCAGGTAACCCATTTGGTCCTGAGGAGAGAGAATTCTGGGAGCTTTGCTTGGGGGAAGGGCTGGGACCACCTGGAAGGTTATCAGGGCCTGAGCAGGACTTTTAGGCCAAAATGCTGGGCTGCTGGGGCTTCCAAAGCCGAAGCTGGTTTTCCTCAGGCCGCTCTCACACACAGGCTGATTTCTAACTCCTAACACCACCACGCCCACCACCACCACGCCCACAGCTCTCCCCTTGTGGCTCCCGCAGGAAGGGGCCCTGGACCTCCTCAAGAAGCTGAGCAGCTGTCGGATGTCCGTCCAGCTACTGCAGGTGACTGGGGGCGGGGGGGGGAGGCAGGGTGAGAGCCCTGGGGCAGTGCCTCTGGGGGGCATGAGAGGCCCCAGGCCAGGAGCTGGGAGGAAGCTCCCAAGGGTGGCCTGGGGGCTGGGGAATCCTGAGGAGTGGACCCCGGGACAGGGACTGGGGGAGACACTGAGGAGTCTAGTTGGGGGGCATGGGTGGGGGTGGGGGTGGGGGGTGGTCCTTTAGGACTGGGAGGACTGGCTTGTTTTTCTTGAATACCCCCATTCTTGAATGCCCAAGAGACCGGTGGACCAGAAAAGTCTCCCGTTTTAAAATTTAAAATCTTCCTGTGTTGCCCAGACCGGCCTGGAAGCTTCCAGCCTGAGAGATGTGTGCAGACCCAAGTTGCAGTGGTCAGAGCTGTGTCCAAGTGGCAAGCTGAGCTCAAAGAGGCTACGGGGCTGGGAATGGGGAGGCGTCCTGATGGCAGCCACCCCCACTCCCACCCCGTGCCTCCTCCACTTTGCACCAATGCCAGTTACCCCTCGGTGCAGGCGCCAGACCTCCCGCAAGGTTATTTCTGTGATGAGGGCAGAATAGGCGGTGGTGGTTGCGCTGGGGCACGGGTCCTGCCTGTCCATCTCAGACCAGCCCTTAATCCCCTCGCTTTGCAGACCACCAGGATCGGAGTTGCCGTTAACGGGGTCCGAAAGCACTGCTCGGACAAAGAGGTGGTGTCCTTGGCCAAGGTTCTCATCAAAAACTGGAAGCGGCTGCTCGGTGAGCGGGGTCAGGGTTAACTTGTGTTCTTCTAGAACCTGTGACGAGGCAGTGTCTGTGGTAGATGGCAATGGCGGGTTACTGGGGGAGCACCAGGGACTGTGTACAAGTGCGTGTTTTGTACACGTGTGAGCTTTTGTGTTCATGTGCCTACATGTATGTTTCTGTTTGTATGCTCATATGTTTGCATATCCAAGAGTTCTTGAAAAAGTTAGCGCAAGAGTAGAATTAAGAGGCTTGGGGCTGGCGCTGTGGCGCAGTGGGTTAATGCCCTGGCCTGAAGCGCTGGCATCCCATAGGGGCACCGGTTCGAGACCTGACTGCTCCACTTCCTGTCCAGCTCTCTGCTATGGCCTGGGAAAGCAGTAAAAGATGGCCCAAGTCCTTGGGCCCCTGCACCCGTGTGGGAGACCAGGAAGAAGCTCCTGGCTCCTGGCTTTGGATCGGCACAGCTCCGGCCATTGTGACCATCTGGGGAGTGAACCATCGGGTGGAAGACCTCTCCCTCTCTCTCTCTCTCTCTCTCTCTCTCTGCCTCTGCCTCTGCCTCTCCTCTCTGTGTAACTCTGACTTTCAAATAAATAAATAAATAAAGCTTTAAAAAAAAAAAAAAGGAATTAAGGGCAGGCACTGCCTCCGCAGCTTAAGTTGCTCATCTTGTTACCGACAACGTGATGAGGCCGTTGCTTCTGGCCGCTGGACAGCCAGCCAGTTCACCAGAAATGAGAGCTGGTGAGAGGAAAGCTTTTCCAAGAGGCTGGCAGTCTTGGGGCACAGAATGATCTCTAGATCCAAAATGTGCCCTTTCTGTACAACAAGCCAGCAAAAAGCGTTTTTAAAGGAAAGGGGTGGGGACTGGCGTTGTGGTGCCGTGCGGTAAACCACCACCCTGGCATCCCATGGAGATGCAAGCTTGAGTCCGGCTGCTCCACTTCCCATCCAGCTCTCTGCTGATGTGCATGGGAAAGCAGCAGAGGATGGCCCAAGTCCTTGGGTCCCTGCTCCCACATGGGAGACCCGGAGGAAGCTCCTAACTTTGGCCTGGCACAGCCCTGGCGGTTGCAGTCATTTGGGGAGTGAACCAGCAGATGGAAGGCCTCTCTGTCTCTTTCTCTCTCTCTCTTTCTCTCTGTAACTCTGCCTTTCAAATAAATAAAAAATAAATCTTAAAAAATTAATAAATAAAGGGTGGGGTAGCTGCAGGGGGAGGTTAGAAAAAAAACACAGTGCGTCCAGTTAAGTGACAAGCAGATCCTGGGGCTGTGGCCTGAGGATGGTGCCTCCGGGAGGTCCAGGGTGTCGGCCCCGTGGTGGCTTCCCCCAGTGGAACTGCTGTTTGCTGGCAATGGTTGCGTGCTTTCTCCTTAGCTGGTGTGAGGGCTGCCGTGACAAGTCATCTCCTCTCACCAGGCTCCTGGCACTCCCATGCCAAGCCCGTCACTCACTAGATGAGCCACAGGTGACCCACAAGTCAGTTAAAATACGAAAGGGAAGGGAGGATGCCTTCATTACAGTTACAATGTCAGAGTGCCTGGGTCAGAGTCCTGGCTCTGCTCCCGATTCCAGTCTCCTGCTAATGCACACTCCCCTAGGCAGCAGATGATGGCTCAAGTAGTTGGGTCCCTGCTGCCCACATGGGAGACCCGGATTGAGTTCCTGGCTCTTGACTTTGACCTAGCCCTAGTGTTGCAAACATTTGGAGAGTGAGGCACAGGATAGAAGTCTCTCTCTCTCTCTTTCTCTCTAGTGTGTGTGTGTGTCTTCCTCTCTCTGTCACTCTGCATTTCAAATAAATAAACCCCTTTTTTAAAGATTTATTTATTTGAAAGTCAGAGTTACACAGAGAGAGAAGAAGAGACAGAGAGAGAGAGAGGTCTTCCATCCCTGGTTCGCTCCCCCAGTTGGCTGCAACAGCCAGAGCTGCGCCAATCCGAAGCCAGGAGCCAGCAGCTTCCTCGGGGTCTCCCATGTAGGTGCAGGGCCCCAAGCACTTGGGCCATCTTCTGCTTTTCCAGGCCACAGCAGAGAGCTGGATCTCAAGTGGAGCAGCCGGGACTCGAAAGAGCACCCACGTGGGACGCCGGCACTGCAGGCAGCAGCTTACCCACTCTGCCACAGCGCCACAGCTCCAGCCCCAAATAAACATTTTTAAAAGTTTATTTTGATGCAAACATTTTTTGAAATCCATGCATAGCTTTTCCATAATGTGCATGTTCCTGAGGTTTTTGAAGACACCTCATTTGCATGGGCTTTTCTTGCACCCAAATAAACTTACCTTTTAATTCCGTTTCCCACAAACCTTCTGAAGTCCCCTGTGCAGTACATGTCTGTATATAGACACCTGCACGCATGTGTTCGCAGGTGTGTGCGAAGGGATTAACGCCCTCCATGTGAGAAGATGTATTTGTACACACTGCACCTGGCGTGTGTGCGGTTGTGTGTAAATGCGTGTGTGCTGGGGGTGTGTGCAGCTGCCTTCGTTCCTGCCCTTGCTCCCTGCTCCCCAGAGTCAGGCTGGGTCCTGCCGAGATGGAGCTGCCGTAGGGTCAGCGCCACCCTTTTGTTTTCAGACTCTCCGGGACCCCCTAAAGGAGAAAAGGGAGAAGAACGAGAGAAAACAAGGAAGAAAGAAAAAGGACTCAAAGGTCCAGACTGGAAGCCAGAAGCGGGCCTTTCTCCATCAAAGAAAACTCGAGAGGAGGAGCCCAAAAGCAGGTATTTTCCCCTGGGCTGGAGAGAAGGGGCTGTGTTCGTGCATTTCCCACAACACCGCAGGCCGCACAGCTTAGCAAGAAAAGAGGGCTGTTTAGCTCCCGGCTCTGGAGGCTGAAGTGCAGGCAGCGAGGCGCTGACGCTGGCAACGCCCCCTTGGCCGGGTGGCAGCGTGGTGACGGCTTTGTGGCGGGAGCACCTGCCGCATGGGGGCGATCACACCGTGTTGCAAGAAGCCAGAGAGGAGCTGGGGTCAGAATTGCTCTGTTTTTTTTTTGTTTTGTTTTGTTTTGTTTTGTTGTTGTTGTTTTTTTATTTTTTTGACAGGCAGAGTGGACAGTGAGAGAGACAGAGAGAAAGGTCTTCCTTTGCCGTTGGTTCACCCTCCAATGGCTGCTGCAGCTGGCGCACCGCGCTGATCCGATGGCAGGATCCAGGTGCTTCTCCTGGTCTCCCATGGGGTGCAGGGCCCAAGCACCTGGGCCATCCTCCACTGCACTCCCTGGCCACAGCAGAGAGCTGGCCTGGAAGAGGGGCAACCGGGACAGAATCCAGCGCCCCGACCGGGACTAGAACCTGGTGTGCCTGCGCCGCAAGGCGGAGGATTAGCCTAGTGAGCCGTGGCGCCGGCATACTTGCTCTGTTTTAACAACTCCTGCAGCCCCTCCTGTGGGGACCTCAGTTCCTTCCAGTAAAGCGCCCTCCATGACCTCATTACTGCCTCCTGGGCCCACACCGTGCAGGTCCCACCGCCTTTCTTTCTTTTTCTTTTTTTAAAGATTTATTTATTTGAGAAAGAGAGGGGGGAAGAGAGAAAGAAAGGGAGAGAGAAGTCTTCCATCCATTGGTTCACTCCCCAAATGGCCGCAATGGCCGGAGCTGAGCTGATCTGAAGCCAGGAGCCAGGAGCTTCTTCCTGGTCTCCCACATGGGTGCATGGACCCACGCGCTTGGGCCATCCTCCATTGCTTTCCCAGGAGCATTAGCAGCGAGCTGGGTCAGACTCCAGCTGGCTCCCATATAGGATGGTGGCACTGCAGGTGGCAGCTTTACCCTTTGTGTCGCAGCGCCCCCACCCCACCCCGCCATGTCTTTCAGCATGTCCACCCCAAGGGTCACGGTCCCAATGCATGAACCTTTGAGGGATGCATTTAAACTACACCCATACCACAGCAGGGCCCACACTTGCCACATCCTCTGCCAGCTGCTCTGTCTATATTATTTCTTTTAAAAAAGTTTATTTATTTGAAAGGCAGAGGGGCAGAGAGATAGTGCTGGGAACTCCATCTGGGTCTCCCACTGGGTGGCAGGGTCCCAAGTACTTGAGCCATCACCTGCTGCCTCCCAGAGTCTGCATTAGCAGGGAGCTGGGATGGAAACTGAGCAGCCAGGACTCGTACTGGCTTAACCACTACACCATCATTCCAGTCCTTATACTAATTTTTTTTTGAAAGGCAGAGTTAGATAGGAGAGAGAGAGAGACAGAGAGAAAGGTCTTCCTTCCGTTGGTTCACCCCCCAAATGGCCGCCGTGGCCGGCGTGCTGCGCCAATCTGAAGCCAGGAGCCAGGTGCTTCCTCCTGGTCTCCCATGGGGTGCAGGGCCCAAGCACTTGGGCCATCCTCCACTGCCCTCCTGGGCCACAGCAGAGAGCTGGACTGGAAGAGGAGCAACCAGGACAGAATCCGGCGCCCCAACCAGGACTAGAACCCGGTGTGCCGGCGCTGCAGGTGGAGGATTAGCCGGCCCTTATACTAATTTTTAAATTTAAAAAACAACTCTTCTGGGGGCCAGCGTTGTGGGACAGGGGGTTCAGCCACCACTTGTGGTTCTGATATCCCATAGCAGAGCACTAGTTTGAGTCCCAAATATTCTGCTTCCAATTCACCTTCCTGCTAATGCTCCTGGGAAGGCAGAGGACGATGACTCAAGTACTGGGGACCCTGCCACCCACGTGGGAGACCAGGGTGGAGTTCCTGCCTCCTGGCTTCAGCCTGACCCAGACCTGACTGTTCCAGAAACCACACTACAGCCTCCTGCAGCTGAGCTCACAGACTCCTCCTTAGAGCCCTGTGTTTTTTTTTTTTTTTTTTTTTTTTTTTAATTTTATTTTTTGACAGGCAGAGTGGACAGTGAGAGAGAGAGACAGAGAGAAAGGTCTTCCTTTGCCGTTGGTTCACCCTCCAATGGTCGCCGCGGCCAGCATGCTGCGGCCGGCGCACCGCACTGATCCGATGGCAGGAGCCAGGTGCTTCTCCTGGTCTCCCATGGGGTGCAGGGCCCAAGCACTTGGGCCATCCTCCACTGCACTCCCTGGCCACAGCAGAGAGCTGGCCTGGAAGAGGGGCAACCGGGACAGAATCCGGCGCCCCGACCGGGACTAGAACCCTGTGTGCCAGCGCCGCAAAGCGAAGGATTAGCCTAGTGAGCCGCGGCGCCGGCCCTAGCCCTGTGTTTTATAAATAAGAAACTGAGGCACAGAGAGTTCGTGTGCCTCCCCGGCGATCGGACAAACCCAGGATGCCTGTGCCCAGGGTCCCTGTTCTATGATCTGATCTCCCCCAGGAGCTGTTTCCTGTCCCTATACTTGGTTGACCCCAGATGCCCCAGTGAGACCACCCCCTACCCCCACATGGGGAGTCTGACCCCTGGAGAAGTCCAATAAGAAGAGCTGGCCCAGGGTCTCCAAAGCAAGGCTCCCACCCTCTGTGCCCCTCCTACTGGCTTCTTGACCCTTGACCCTTGACCCTTGGCCCCATCACATATCTACCAGGAGCTCAAGGGCACGGACATGAAGTACCGGAACCGTGTGCGCAGCCGAATCAGCAACCTCAAGGACCCCAGAAACCCCGGCCTGAGGCGCAATGTGCTCAGTGGGGCCATTTCTGCGGGGCTGATCGCCAAGATGACGGCAGAGGTGAGGGCGTCGGCCTCGGCGCGGTGGGCGGGAGGCGAGGCCCCTCCAGCTTTGCCCAGGTCTGAGGCTGTGGCTTGTACCCCAGCAGAGATGAGCCGGGGGTGGGGGGGCTTTTCCGGCCTGCCCTGGGGTTTCTGGGACATCGGGATGGTGCACACACAGCATCAAGCACTCTGCGGAGGGCTGCGTCTCCGCACCGTGAGACGGTGGGAGTGTTCACTGTCCCCCTTCACAGATAAGGAGGCCGAGGCTCAAAGGAGAAAACTGATTTGTCCTTGCACATAGCTAGGAAGTGTTGAAGCCAAGAGCAGACTGGCCCCAGAGCCCCGGCTCCTCCCTGCTTTGTCGTCTGCCTCCCTCTTCTCTTGATGAGGCCTGTACCCAGCTCTGGGCCCAAGGCAGCATAGCAGTCCCCGTGGGGAGACAGAGACATTCCCACATGTGTGCAGCACCCACACAGAGTGACGCAGCTCAGAGGGATCAGAAGGGGGCAGAGAAGGGAACGGACCTGTTTGAGGAAGTGTAGGGCACTGGTTAGACGCTTAGGAGCCAGGCCAGACCGCGTGGCTTCGAATTGCACCTGTGCTTTCCACCTGTGGGACGTAGATGCTGATCCAGCCAGCTCATGAGGAATGAAATGAGTTAACACAGGAGGGTACTTTAAGACGTTTGTGTGAAATGGATTGAAAAGCAAGTTTCTTTTTTATTATAAAAATGTGTCTTAAATTCATGCACAGTGGTTTCAAACACACATTTTCCGTGAACTGTTTAAAGGTACCTCCTGTGTGAGTTGTTTAAAACAGGTGGGAATATCTGGCCCACAAAATCATTTGGTCTGGCCCCGCCAAGGCGGAACTTGAAATTCAATAAATCTGTAGCAGGCTAATTTTTTTTAGATTTATTTATTTATTTTTATTTATTTGAAAGGCAAGGGTCGGCGCCATGGTGCAGTAGGTTAATCCTCTACCTGCTGCGCCAGCATATGGGCGCCAGTTCTAGTCCCAGCTGCTCCTCTTCCAATCCAGTTCTCTGCTATGGCCTGGGAAAGCACTAGACAATGGCCCAAGTCCTTGGGCTCCTGCACCCATGTGGGAGACCTAGAAGAAGCACCTGGCTCCTGCTTCAGATCGGCGCAGCTCTGGCCGTTGCGGCCATTTGGGGAGTGAACCAATGGAAGGAAGACCTCTCTCTGTCTCTTCCTGTCACTGTCTGTAACTCTACCTCTCAAATAAATAAATAAAATCTTTAAAAAGAAAAAAAAAAAAAAAGAAAAGCAGATTTACAGAGAGGCAGAGAAAGAGAAAGAGAGAGGTCTTCCATCTGCTGGTTCACTGCCCAGATGGCTGCAACAGCCAGAGTTGTACCGATCCGGAGCCAGGAGTTTCCTCTGGGTCTTCCAAGGGAGTGCAGGGGCCCAAGCACTTGAGCCATCCTGCTTTCCCAGGGATGGGAATTAGCAGGGAGCTGGATCAGAAGTGGAGCAGTAGGACTCGAACCGGCACCCAGATGGGATGCTGGCGCTGCAGGCAGAAGTTTAACCTGCTGCACCACAGCACTGGCCCCTTAGCAGGCTAATTTTTAAGTTATCATTTTGTATGGCCAGCAGATGATGTTATAAATAGCCAAATGGTCCTTGGCAGAAAAATGTTCCCATCTGAAGCCCTGGCCTTCAGTGCCGACGTCCCATATGGGCGACTGTTAGAATTAGAATCCCAGCTGCTCCACTTCTGATCCAGCTCCCTGCTAATGCCTGGGAAAGCCACAGTGGATGGCCCAAGTGCTTAGGCCCCTACATCCACGTGGGAGACCTGGAAGAAGCTCTATGCTCCTGGGTTCGGCCCGGCCTCGCCCTGGCCTTTGCAGCCAACTAGGGAGTAAACCACCTGTTGGAAGATCTCTATTTCTTTTTTTTTTTTTTTTTTTGACAGGCAGAGTGGACAGAGAGAGAGAGAGACAGAGAGAAAGGTCTTCCTTTGCCGTTGGGTCACCCTCCAATGGCCGCCGCGGCCAGCGCGCTGCGGCCGGCGCACCGCGCTGATCCAATGGCAGGAGCCAGGAGCCAGGTGCTTTTCCTGGTCTCCCATGGGGTGCAGGGCCCAAGCACCTGGGCCATCCTCCACTGCACTCCCTGGCCACAGCAGAGAGCTGGCCTGGAAGAGGGGCAACCGGGACAGAATCCGGCGCCCCGACCGGGACTAGAACCCGGTGTGCCGGTGCCGCTAGGTGGAGGATTAGCCTAGTGAGCTGGAAGATCTCTATTTCTGTCTCTCCTCTCTGTGTAACTCTGCCTTTCAAATAAAAAATCTTTTTTAAAAAATATAGACAAACGTTTGCTTCAATAAGAAAAATAACAGCTGAGTGGGGACTTAGTGGGTGGGGTTTCCATGGCAGCTCTGTCTCCCCAACTCCCTCTCTGTGTCTCTTTCCCTGTTTGCCTGATGCCCCCTTTCTTCCTCCTCCTCCCTCTGTCCCGTCAGCACCCTGAGAAGGGGCTCTTGTCCGTCCGCAGCTCACCCAGCGCTGAGGACAGCACCTGCTAGGGCATGAGCACTCGGCAAGCATCCACTGAGCTCGCATCGAGCCCCCGATCTAACCGAGTATGAAAGGGTGAGGACCCCGGGCGTCGTCCTGCTCTACGTCCTTCATGCTGGGCCGCATTTTCCTTTGGCCTCCTGTCTCACTGTGCCGCAGCAGACTGCCCTACACAGAGCATAATTACAAATATTCCCTTGTGCAAGGGCAGCCAGCGCTTTAGCACCGATGAGAGACGCGATTCTTTTGTTGTAAAATAAATACGTAAAACACACTGTGGGCCCCACAAGCAGAGCTGCCACAGCGACTCAACACCTGCCTCCGTGGAATCAGGCCGCCCGTGGTCCAGCGTGGCCACAGGAGCGCCTTTTCTGGAGCCTTCCCCAGCCCTCTGCAGACTTGATCGAGACTGGAATTTCTCAAAGGTCAGCGGGTCCACGACAGTCAAGTAGCCTACAGGATTCTCTAGTAGTGCCCTTTGTGTGTCTTCAGTGCCTGAGAGATTCGGGGTCCTGCTGGGGTCAGATGGCAACAGTGAGTCATGGGTAGTTGAGACCCAGGTTCTGGCTAGCCCTAGCCTCCAAGTGTGGCCTTTTCTTAGTTAAGACAGGGCCAGGAGTCCAGGCCTTCATCCGGCTCTTTGTCCTGAAACCAGCGTCCTCCTCCTCCTCTGTTCAGCTCTCTAGAAAACAGGGCTGGGCCAGGCTGCTGCAGGACCCCAGCCCTGATGAGCAGGCTCCTTTCTCTCCAGGAAATGGCCAGTGACGAGCTGAGGGAGCTGAGGAACGCCATGACCCAGGAGGCCATCCGCGAGCACCAGATGGCCAAGACCGGCGGCACCACCACCGACCTCTTCCAGTGCAGCAAATGCAAGAAGAAGAACTGCACCTATAACCAGGTATCAGCAGTGGGGAGAGGGCCTGGGTGCAGGGGGCTGCAGGGGCATGGAGGTGGGAAAGCAGGGCGAAGCTTAGGGAAGAGCCAGAGGGGAGATGGGACTTGAGCTCCCTGGGCTGCAGGGAGGACAAGCCATGAATACCGTGCGGTGCACCTGTGCCTTGAGTCACCCAGCTGGTGCCTGTGAGGCGTGTCCAGTGTGTCCCGGACTGCCCAGCAGTGAGATTAAAAACCAGACTCATTGGGCACAGAACCTCTGGTCACAGATGGCTGGAGGGAACCTTAGCAATGTGAAACCTAGCTTCCTCGTTATACACAGAGAGAGACTGAGGCCTAGGGGTGGTTGTTGGGGTGCAATGGGATAAGCCGCCACTTGGGGCACCCACATCTCATATTGGAGTGTCGGTTCCAAGTCCTGGCTGCTCTGCTTCCAGTCCAGCTTCCTGCTAATGTGCCTAAGAAGGTGGTGGATGGTGGCCCTGCTACTTGGGTCCCTGCCAGCCCACACAGGAGACTAAGATGGAGTTCCTGACTCCTGCTTTTGGCCTGGTCCAGCACTGGCTGCTCTGGGCATTTGGGGAGTGAGCCAGTGGGTGGCAGATCTCTCTCTTTCTCCCTCCCTCTCCCTCTCTCCCTGCCCATTTCTCTGCCTTTCAAAACTGAGGCCCAGATGGGCTAGATGGGTTTGCACAGGGTGGCAGAGGTGGCGCTGTGGCCAGACCCAAACCCAGACCTGTCTGCCTGCAATGCAGGTGAAGCCCGAGGGATTTTGCCTCCAGTGCTGAGGGCGAAGGCCCTTGTCCTGTGGCCTAGGGCACTGTGGCAGGCTGGAGGGGCCATCTTGTTTCTGGGTCACACATGCCCCAGGAGCTGCCATGTTCCTGGACTCTAATTGCTGTCTGGTCTTGGCTGCACAGTCAGCCCCGCCAGCTGGGGTCCCTCAGGGAATTCCCGTTCAGGAATTGGCACGCGGTTGAGCCAGCACCTGCTCCACCCCCACCCCACCCCTGCACCTGCTCCACCTCCACCCACAGGGCGGCGCTGTGCTTCCTGTGTTTCGCCTCCTTGCAGGAATCCGCTGCCCTGTAGCCAAGTTTTCTCTTCCCCAGAGAAACCCACCTGCTGTCCTTTCTTAGGTGTCACTCGTTTCCAGTGACAAGGACGGGCCAGGCTGAATACTGGGCTCACTCACCAGCCCCAGAGATGCCTCCCACGACAGACTCCCGCTGATGTCACTCAGACCTGAATGCCAGAGAAGTAGTGACTCTCAGCAGGTTGGCCTTAGGAAATCAGGACCAGCAGGTTAAGACACTGCTTGGGACACTTGGGGCTCAAGTCTCCACTTGGTCAACTTCCTGTTAACGTGCACTCTGGGAGGCAGCAGGTGATGGCTCAGTACTTTGGTCTCTGCCCCCCATGTGGGACACCTGGATGGGCTTCCAGGCTCTTGGCTTCCTGGCTTCAGCCTGGCCCCGCCTGCCTGTTGCCGGCATTTGGGGAGCGAACCAGCAGATAGGAAATCTCTGTCTCCTCACTCGTTCTCTGTCATTTCTGCCTTTAAAACAAATGAAACATTTTTAAGAAGAGAAAATCAGAAGAGCAGCTGTTAAATCTGTAAGTGCCGGACTGTGCTGTGGGAAGCTGGTTCCTGCATCTGAGTAATGCGGTTAAGAAGATGAGGAAATGGGGCCGGCGCTCTGGTGTAGTGGGTAAAGCCGCCGCCTGCAACGCCGGCATCCCATATGGGCGCCGGTTTGTGTCCCAGCTGCTCCACTTCCGATCCAGCTCTCTGCTAATGGCCTGGGAAAAGCAGCAGAAGATGGGCCAAGTGTTTGGGCCCCTGCACCCATTTGAGAGACCCAGATGAAGCTCCTGGCTCCTGGCTTCAGCCTGGCCCAGATCTGGCCGTTGAGGCCACTTGGGGGAGTGAACCAGTGGGTGAAAGATCTCTCTGTCTCTTCCTCTTTCTCTGTAACTCTTTCAAATTAATAAATCTTTAAAAAAGAATGGAGGGAGGGAGGGAGGGAGGGAGGGAGGAAGGGAGGGAGGGAGGGAGGGAGGAAGGAAGGAAAAGGGATGAGAAACTGGAAGACATTAAATGGTTCCAGTGCGCTCCAGGTCCCCTTGGCTCCCCGGGGCCCTTGTGTACATGGAAGGTGAGGGAGATGAGCTCCCGGGGTGCTTCCAGCTCACTGCAGTTCTGTCCAGTGAGACACGTCCAGGGGTGAGTCCGGGGATATTTCCTGCAGGAGGTGAGTTCCAGGCCAGAGAGGGAAATCAGTTCCGAGAGATCCATCAGAGGGAAAGTCCAAGGTCAGGCTAAGCCAGGGAGCCACTTGGAGTGAGCTGTGCACTGCCCGAGAAGAGCAAAGCTTGCATTGTGAAATTCCCAGTGGGGGGGTGGGGTGTCAGTGCCACCTCTGGGATTTGGACCTAATTGGAAAGACAGCGGGAGCCATGGCAGGTCCTGGAGCAGGGGAGCGACTTCATCAGTGGTTTTTCTCTGTCTCAGGTGCAGACCCGCAGTGCCGATGAGCCCATGACGACCTTTGTCTTATGCAATGAGTGTGGCAATCGCTGGAAGGTCTGTATGTCTGTGTCTTCTGCCCCTACCATCCACAGACCCTGCCCTACCGAAGGCGTAGTTTACCCCCAGCCTAGAAGGGGCTTGTGCGCAGGGAGGGCTGCCAGCCTGCACAGGGCAGGTCTGCAGAGCCGGAAATAGCAGCTGGGGAGACCGGCGTGTTTTCCTTTGGGAAGGGCACCTAGCTGGGCGGGGGTGGCGGCAGCCCACGATTTATCACAGGATGGGCAAGTCGGTCATTTGAGCCCAGATGGAATCAGCTTCCTGACATCTGCAGAGGGCATCTGGACCGCACCTCTTGGCGAAGTGCTTTCCCAGATGGTGTTTCCTTTGAGCCTGGTCTCAGCCAGGCAGGCTGGGCTCTGGGGGAAAGAAGCGGCCCCCAGACGCTCCCAGGCCATCCTCCCCTCCCTACGGCAGCTCTGCAAAGGGCTGGAATTCCCCAAGGAGGTACCGCAGGCTGCCCCGGCTCCTGCGAAGACGGAGTTTCGTTTTCCGGCATGGGAGCCCAGCAGAGACTCCCCCCGAAGTGCTCCTTCCTGAAAGAATGGAGTGTGATCACGTGACCGATGTCGGTTTCCAGTGCCATCTGACTTGCACGTGCACTGCGCGGTGTCTGGGCCCCCAGGCGGGCTGCAGGTGCCCCCCGAGGATCCGCGGCACTCAGAGCCCGACACTGGGCCTGGGCCTGGGCCTGGGGGTCAGGAGCCTTGGTTTCGGGTCTCATCCTGCGCTCCTCACCGTGTGAGCTTGAGCGTGTCCCTCAGCTCCCTGAGCCTTTCTCCTGGGGTTTATGCACGCACACGCACCTTGCAGACGACAAGTGTCCCTCTGTATTACTATTTCCACCGTCAGAGGAGGAGACAGTGACAGCAGTAGTTCAATGATGAGCGTAGAGTCACCCAGGCTGGAGACTGGAAGGGAGTGCTCCAGATTTCTGATGAATTGAGAATTGATTTTTCTTACAAAGGACCTCAGCGGACTCTCTAAGCCTGGATTTCCTCATCTTTAAAATGGGGGCATTAATGCTATTCTCTCCCGGAGTGGTTTGGAGAACCAGTGAAGTTAGCACCCTGAAAAGCAGGAACACGGCCTCCGATACCCCAAGGGGCACCTGGGTCAAATTAGAAAACGGGCCCAGCCCTGGGACAGAGTGAAGAGCTAGCAGCACAAGGCTTGTGTTTTCAGCAACCTGCCAGGCTCTTTTGTGCAGTCAACAACTTGTATGACCATACCCAAAAAAGCCAGTGTGTACCCAGGACATAGAAGCCACGGTTGTTACTGTTCTGAGTGTGTCGGCACTCGTCTTAGCGGAGCTTGGGCAAGTCACGGAACTGCTCTGAGCTGCTTGCTGCTTTACCAGTGAGGATGGGAGTGGTGCTGGTGCCTGCCTCCCGGGGTGCCGATGAGGATGAAATGGGTTCAGCCATGTTGGTCCTGCCCAGCGCTGGGTCAGTGCTTGATAAGTGGTGTCTCTTGAGGTCATTACTATCAGTGCAAGGATCTCCTGGCTGCCCCGCCCCCAGCTCCTCATGCCAGGTTCCCGTGAGCTGGAGAGGCAGGACCACGAGGGGCGCAGCCGTGGCTTCTGACAATGTATTCAGTTGGCATCCACTGAATATATTGGGAGGCCTGGAGTCGGAGTGATTGACCATAAGCTGAGCGCCCGCCATGTGCCGGGCATCGGATTCCTGCTCGGGCCGGCACTACGGCCCCACTTTACAGATAAATAATTTGTCCAGGGTTGCACAGCTCATCATAGCCGAGCTGGGGTGTGGACTCAGGCCCGTGTGACTCCAGCCTCCGCGTTCTTTTTCATGGTCCCTGGGAGCGCCCTCACACTGTGTTGCCTTTTTGGTGTTGTAGTTCTGCTGATGGGACCACCGCCGTCCGGACCGCCGTGAGCAGGGTGAGGCAGCACCCGCCCATCGGGACGGAAGCCAAAATAAAAATTCAGATGAAGAGAAAGACTGAGCTCTGAATGAGGGGCTTAGGCATCAGAGGTAGAATCTTTTGCAAATTGGTAGTCAGTTGGCAACCACGGGTGGCTGATGGGGAGCCTCGTCGGGGTGAGTGCCAAGTATCCGTGTGGATAAACCGCTCAGAAGTCAGGTGCCTCTGACAGTGGGCTCTGCAGGCGTTGGGCCCCTCACCTCCAGAGCCTCCCAGCCCTTTCTGAACTGAAAGGCACTGAGACTGACACAGCCTCCCAGCCCCAGAGTTGCACCAGCACAGTTGATACGAGGTTTCGGAGAAATGGGGGAGGGGGACCTCCTCAAAAAGTTCGTGGAAAATGAATGTTATGGAAAAAACTATGCATGGATTTTAAAAATGTTATGTTTTGTACCAAATAAACTTCCCTTTGGGGGGCCAGCATTTTTTTTTTCTAAAGATTTTGTTTATTTTTATTTGAAAGAGCTACAGAGAAGGAGAGACAGGGAGAAAGAGAGAGAGAGAGAACTAGCTAGCTTCCATCTGCTGGTTCACTCTCCAAATGGTCACAATAATTGGGGCTGGGCCAGGCCAAAGCCAGGAGCCAGGAGCTTCTTCCAGGTCTCCCATGTGGATGCAGGGGCCTACGAACTTGGGCCATCCTCCACTGCTTTCCCAGATGCATTAGCAGAGAACTGGATCAGAAGTGGAGTAGCCGGACTCAAACCACCCCCACGGGATGCCAGCACTGCAGGCGGCCGCTTTACCTGCTTCGCCTCAGCACCGGCCCCACTGGGGTTGGCATTTGTGCTTATAGATTAGGATGCCACTCAGGACACCCGTGTCCCACATCAGCGTGTCTGGTTTGAGCTCCTCCTCTTCCAATCTGTTTCCTGCTGATGCACACCCCGGGAGGCAGCAGGTGATGGCCCAAGTGCTTGGCTCCCTGCCACCCATGTCAGAGACCCAGACGGAGTTCAGGGCTCCCGGCTTCGGACTGACCCAGCCCCAGCTGTCGCAGGCATTTGAGGAGTGAACCAGTGGGTGGAAGGCCTCTCTTCTCTCCGTCTCTCTGTCCGTCTGCCTTTCAACTGACAAAATGAATAAACTTCTTTCAAGTCCATTTTCCATGAATTTTCTGAAATCCCCGCCTAAGACCTCCACACCACACAGTGCTGTTTCTCCCCTGCACCATAGCCCCTCCCGCACTCTGTGATTGCTTATGTATAACTGGCTGTGGAGGGCCCCTCGAGTCCCCTTGAGCTCGGACTTTGCATAAAGGTTACAGAAATGCCCCTGACTTCCACGGCCCCTTGGGAGCCGGGAGCCAGCAGGGTCTTCACACAGCTCTGCCCGTGGCCCGAGCTTCAGAGGGAAGTCTGCGGAGCACGGTGCCCTTGGCCTGCTTCTCCCTGGATCATCTCAGCCTGCTTTTAACGCTGATGAAGACTTTAGGCAAAGCTGGAAATTTCTAGAAAAGGCTAGCTGGTGGGTCCCTCGAGGGTCTGCGTCTCAAATTGTTCCTGGCCTTGCCGTGGCCCCAGGCTGAGCCTTCTGGACTTCGTGTTTCCTGAATCGGCTGTGAACTCCTGGGAGCTTGGGCAAGTGACATAAAGCTCTCTGAGCCGTGTCCTTCCCTGTGGCACGACCGCTCCTTCCTGGGGTGACTGCAGGGAGGCGGCCAGGGTTCTCCCGGAGAGAAGCTGCTGGGGCGGCCGGCCGCAAGTGCCTGATACCCCGAGGGCATCCTGTGCTCTGGAATCAGTGCTCATCTCCTGCCTTCTCCGGCCGCTGAGGCCTGGAATTAGACCGTGTGCAGAAATGGGCCTGCCTCTTCGGCTTTTAAACAGATGTGGCGCGGGTCCTGTGGGAAGACTGGCAGCTCTCACGGAAGACACGACACATGCAGCTCAGCAAGGCAGCCCAGGGACTGAAGCCCGGGGCTTCTGCTTCTTGACGCTGCGCCCCACGCTTCGAGGGACCTGGAAGTGCAGTGTTGCTGCTTAGAGACCCAGGCCCTTCTCCCACGTGCAGGTGGGTGGGCATCGTGCCTGGTCCTGACTCAGTGGCCCGGGGGCGGGCTCCGAGCTTCTCGGTGGCGATGCTGGCACTGCTGGTCCACAGGCCTGACTTGGGACCGTGAGAGCTTCCCTCCCCAGATTCCTCTCTGTTTTATGTACTCCGTGCAAATGTCTAGAAACCCAAAACAGAACAAAATGGCAACCATTTTCAATTTCGCAGTGTCAGTTAAGGTGACTTTGGGGTGAGCTTTTCACAGGTGTCGCCCTGGGGCGATTTCCAGTAGGCACAGGCTAAATACCCATTGTCTCCCCAGCGGTAGGGATTTAGAGCGCTGGAAACAAAGCAAAACTGAATCTCCACCCTCAGTAAGCTGATGCTTACAAAGCAGGTGAGTCAGGCCGAGCAGCGAGAGAACAGGTCCGAACACCTGTACCGGGCGCGTCACCATCCCCGAGAGGAGAAGCACAGGTGGGCCACGGCCTTCCTCTGGCATCACCAGCTTCCCGGCGACTCCCTGTGCCACCGCGGAGCCGCAGGGGCTCACTCTCCGCTGCGGATGGCTGCAATCAGCTTCGCGAAACTGCTCATCTGGCGTTTGGCCTCGCAGTTAGGTTGCCACTTGAGACACGCGTGTCCTGTATTCCAGGGCCTGCGTTTGCGCCCCTGCCTTGGCGCCCAGTTCCAGCTTCCTGCCAGTACAGGCCCTGGTGGCAGCAGGTGGTGGCTCAAGTCCTTGTACCCCTGCCACCCCTGTGGGAGACCTGGATTGAGTTCCCAGCTCCTGGCTTTGGCCCAGCCCAGTCCTGGCTGTTCTGGGCATTTGGGGAGTGAGCCAGCACATCAGAGGGCACACCGTCTCCCTCTTTCGCTCTTGCTCGCCCTCTCCCTGCCTCTTTAACTAAAAAAATATATACATATATTTTAGAGCCGGCGCTGTGGCGCACTGGGTTAATCCTCTGCCTGCAGCACTGGCATCCCATATGGGTGCTGGTTCTAGTCCCGGTTGCTCCTCTTCCGGTCCAGCTCTCTGCTGTGGCCTGGGAGGGCAGTGGAGGATGGACCAGGTGCTTGGGCCCCTGGACCCGCATGGAAACCAGGAGGAGGCACCCGGCTCCTGGCTTCGGATCGGCACAGCTCCTGCCATGGTGGCCATTTGGGGAGTGAACCGACGGAGGGAAGACCTTTCTCTCTGTCTCTCACTGTCTGTAACTCTACCTGTCAAATAAATAAATAAAATATATTAAAAAATATATGTATATTTTAAAATCGCAGATCTGATCATGTTAGAGTCCCCACTCTATTGTCCTCATGTAAAATCCTTTCCTCCTGTGCTGTTGGCTGTGCGGAGCTAACTTCAGCATTGACCGTGCACTTGGCTTCAGGTACACGGGCTCTCACGGCTCTTCATGGGTGGCTCTGCTCCAGAGGCTCTCCATACATGGTCGGCTGGAACACAGCTTTGCTCCATCCTTCACGTCAAAAATGTAGGAAGCATGAGCCATGAGCACGCTGTCGTTAACTTCGGCCAACCAGGCAGGCTTCCAAGGGCAAAGGAGGGAGGTCACACGAGGTGAATCCGAGATGGCTGTATGGAGGAGAGGCCATCTCACAGGAATGCCATGGCCAAAAAACCCTAAAAACAAGACCATTCAAGATCCTAGGACCAACTTAAGAGATGTTTTCTGGCCGGCGCCGCGGCTCACTAGGATAATCCTCTCTGCCTTGCGGCGCCGGCACACCGGGTTCTAGTCCCGGTCGGGGTGCCGGATTCTGTCCCAGTTGCCCCTCTTCCAGGCCAGCTCTCTGCTGTGGCCGGGGAGTGCAGTGGAGGATGGCCCAAGTGCTTGGGCCCTGCACCCCATGGGAGACCAGGATAAGTACCTGGCTCCTGCCATCAGATCAGTGCGGTGCGCTGGCCGCAGCGGCCATTGGAGGGTGAACCAACGGCAAAGGAAGACCTTTCTCTCTGTCTCTCTCACTGTCCACTCTGCCTGTCAAAAGAAAAAAAAAAAAGAGAGAGAGAGAGATGTTTTCCAAAGGTGACAGGAACCTAAAAACTGGGTAGAGAAGTCTTTCTTAGCGGCCACAGCCACGTCCCCAAAGCCCTGGCCTTGCCCTTATTTGTCGTCAGCTCATGACAATGTACCCGGTGCCTGGCCGTCAGAGCAGTCGGTTTGAGGCCGAACTTCCACCTTCTCTTTCCCGGGTCTCCTCTCTGTCTTCCGTGTCTGTCCGCTCGCTGGGTCTCTCCCTGGAACTCGTGGGCCCTTGGTCCCGCCCGTGATACTCCCCCCCACCCCCTGCCTCTCAGAGCTGCCACCAGCTGCCACCACCGTGGCCTCCCTGGCTTGCTTTTTTCCAGGACTGGTGCTCAGGCTGTCTCCTGGCCTCCCGCCCCGTCTCCCCGGCACGAGCCCGGCTGGGCTCTGGGCTCTGAGCATTGCTCCTCCGCCCTCAGCAGCCTTCCTCCAGGCCCCTGGTGTGGCTCAGAGCTCCCTCCATCCGCCCTCTGGCTGAGTTTTCTTGGAGGGTGGGGTGGGGATACCCGCTTCCGCAGGTCAGTGGGCCCCTCCCTCACTCCTCTCTGGTGGCCGCTCTTCCACGCCTGCTGCCCCTTGTGTGCTCTGGCCTGAAGGAGAGCCCTGCCCTGCTGCGGGCTACCCAGTGACCTGCTGACCTGCGACCGCTCTGCTTCCTGCTCCCTGCTCAGGCCCAGATGGCCCCTACCTGAGCAGCCTCTCACCCCCTGGCCATGGGAGGCTGAATATGTCACACCGCTGGTCGTGGAGTGCTTATCAGCTGGGTACCGGGCAGTCGTGTACCCTCTCTGCGCTCCTGGTTTTCATCTGTAAATGGTGGTAGTAATGGTTTCTCGCTCAGAGGGTTGCCGCCAAGATTCATTAAGTTAACACAAGAGCAGCCCTCCCTCGGAGTCTGCGGACAGATCAGTACGCGCCATTCCTGGGCGCCTCAACCCTCTGACCTCACGGACTCCATTCTGCTCTTCTGCTGTTTTGAAAGCTTCTTCACTATTTAAAGTTCTTTTAAATGTTATTATTTATTTGAGAGACAGGGAGAGAGAGTTGGGGGCGCAGTGGCATGGGAAGGGGGTAATTCTGTCTGCTGGTTCACTCTCAGATGTGTGTAATACCTGGCCCAGGGCCAGGGCCAGAGCTGGGAACTCAACCATGTCTCCCACAGGGGTGCCAGGGACTCAATTAACTTGAGCCCCCACCTGCTGCTCCCCCCCCCCCCACAGGGTCTGCATTAACAGGAAGCTGGAAAGGGGAGCAGAGCCAGGACTCGAACCCAGGTACTCCACGCTGGGATACAGGTGTCCAAGCGGCACCAAATGAGAAAACCAGAGTTCCCAGAGCCATTGGGTTGTAGGCACTGGAACCCGGATTTGCAGCCAAGCCCCC